ACCGTCTTCACTTGCTGCAACGAGAACGGGACGCGGTAACGCGGGGAAAACAGAAGCGCCCTTCGTTGTCGCTTGAGCTGCTCTACAGAAGCAGGATGTTTTCCTTCTCAGAGAGAAAGATGGTTTGGTACCGGGGACAGAGGATGTCTACGGAGCAGCTGCGTCTCCATCTACCTAACCTAACGTGCAGTGCAGGACACACAAAACACCAGGAAATTGCACACCTTTGTGTAGCAGCATAATCAATATATGACAGCAAGTTATTACAAAGACTTATGAAAGCCAGTCTGAGCAGTGCTGAAATTTGTGCAAGAAACTGGACTAAAGGAGGCAGTGTGGCCTCTCTCCTGCCATGCCCTTCACTGAGAGCATCTACAGGGTTTGTCTCCAGCTATTTTTCTTTCTAGAAGCTCCAAAGTTGTTTGTACTTGGAGCGACTCATGGAGCTGTTTGCTTTTTGGGTGCCACAGGAGGGCAACATTGTCATGGGGCAGTTTCACAGATGGTGCAAAGTCATTCTGGAAGTTTCAATCCTGTTGGAACTGAGTTTTCTTTTCCCACTGTCAAGTGGCTCACCCAAAGCCATGGGAAGTATGCAAGTGAGGGGAGCTGGGGCAGGGGGGATGTGCTCGGTAAAGACCAGTCTAATGTAAGGTCTAACATTCACATTTCTAAGACTTTTGCTACCCAAACTCTTGTGGATCTCAGTGAGATTCTTGTTCGATTTAAAATCTCAGGAAAAGTCTTAAGGTTTGGTCATGACTGAATATCAAAGAAGGCTGACAGATAATTTTTGCAGCATCTCACCTGTCCAATGGGTTTAATTCAAACAGCAGACTCATCAAAACACAAACGTGATCTCTTAGCACAGGTACCCATTCAAGTTTTCCAAAAGAAAACCAAGTGAAAATTGAGCCATACCTTTTCAGTGCTGTTCCGGGAAGTGTCTGGCTTCACCAGGATGGACGGTGGAGCTGATGCGGGTGGCTTTGGAGCAGTCTCACTTTTTGCTGGGAGATCCCTGGCATCCAGGATCATGGAACTACATACGGAAGGAGTTTTGCTTTCCCCTCCTCTAACCACAAGCGCTGGTGAAGCATCATGGGAGAAGTTTGGCCTTGTTCCTGCATCAGTTGTGCCAGCTCCTGGAGGGCTGAGGTGCTGATAAAGCTGGAACTGCTGAGGCCGCACCGTGGTGCTAGGAAGGCGCCTGAGGGAGCCGGCAGCGTGAACAGGGGTTCCCGGCTGCCCGGGTCTCTGCAGGGATCCATCTGGGAAGTGAAGGAGGTAACAGTTATGAAATGCAATGGACCCTGAAGGGAAGATGGTATAACTGTAGCAATGGAGCAGAAAGGAGCAGCCATTGCCGCGGTGTGGCAGCCTGGCTTGACGGGGTGCTCCCACGTGCACTCCCTGTTCTCGAGTGAGGTTCCCGAGGGCTTGTGCACAGCAGGGGTGAGCTCTGCCTCCCCAGCCCACTCCTAACAGGCTCTTGCTGTGCTGAAGGTTGGCAAGGCTAATAAGCTTAAATTCTCCATCCCTCTGCGTTGGCACAACAGCTCCAACCTTGTTTCATTCTACTCCCTGCTGATCTGTTGAACTAGATAGTTGTGTTTTTGTATCTTAGACAAGGGGAGATGGAATGAACATGGCTTCCATCAACTGCAAGTGCCTGCGGGTAAGATATTGAGGTGTCTTCAGTTTACTGCATGTGATTTTTTTTCCTGCAAGCTACTTGCTGGCTTGCTGTTGTACTCTGAGGACCTCTGTCTGGAGGTGGAGTGCTCCCACCACATGGCTGAGGGCTAAGAAGTTCTTAATTCTCCTGTGTTTTCCTCCAGCTCTCTGCTGTCAGGGCCTTTGACTCTAATTTTACTCTGTGCCCTTTTTTTTCCACCCCTCTTCATGCTATTCCTACTTTTTGCATCTCAGACATTTCTAAGATGGAAAATTTTGTTCCTCAGATAGTAATTATTCCATTCTCTTGATCATCCTTCTGTATACTTTTTTTTTTCTAATTTTATTCTATTCTATTCTGAGTTACAAGAAATGTGTGAAGTATTCGAGATGCAAATTTACCAGCACTATTTATGTACTCTGGTTCAGGGAACTGAAATGGACTTGTGACATGGAACTTCTTTGCACAGAAAGTACAGTGATTTTTTTTTTCCTCCAAGCAAAATGCTGCACCTTCCAGGGTATACAGCAGAAAGGAATCTGTCTACTAATTCTCTTTTATTATGTTCTTGATCAATGTGCCTGACTCAGAAGCTGGGTTTACTGGGTTTTAGCTTCTGAGATTGCTGCAAATGTCCTTTTTAGAGACTTAGCACAGCTCATGTTTAACTTGCTAAAATTTGTACTTATTCTTTTTATTTGACGCATATAAGGATACTTCCTCTTCTAACAGCCTCCAATATTATTTAATAATTTTGGTGCATCCTTTTAGTTTTAAAAGATACCAAGGGTTTCTAATAGCAGAATCTTCTCTTGGGAGGGAGCTGTATGGCTTCTGCCCCCAGAGCCCCTTCCTAAGCACTTACTCTTCCTGGCGCTGCCCCGTCCACGCCGCAGGGATGCCTGTCCCGAGGGGGTCAGCAGAGCCGTGTTCCTGCCTGGCGAGGGCACGGGTACGGGCAGCAGCACTGGTTTCAAAGACCTGCTTTGTCTTGGGCCGCTTTCTGAGAGGCTTCCCTGAGAGGAGAGCGAGGAGGTCGACAGTGTCCATGAGGCATACAGGGATGGCATCTTCGAGTCGCAGAGATTAGGTTTCCTGTTTGTGGAGATTGAAAAGAAAAAGCAAATAAACCAAGATTCATATAGTCTGCAAGCCTTTCAGTCATGGAGCTCTGTAAGGAAAAGAGATTTGTCCAAGAGAGTGAGTTCAAAGGTTTTTAAAAGGCTTTTGCACTTCAAGTCAGGGTTTTAGTGGAATTCTGTAGCTAGCGAGGGTTTCCAATTCGATTATAACAAGGGCTTTCCTCTTTGTGCCCCTAGTTGGTAAGAAAGTCTCTTCAAATATGGTTAGAATTATTTACACTAACACCATAGCATTTCAGAAAAGGACGATCGGGTGCCAACCCTACCTCTGTAACTTGCCCAGATATACTTCCTACATCATGGAAAAATGGGATTTGTCCTGCTTCTTCTCTGTTAAGTGTCACGCTATGACTGTAGATGCTAGTGCTTGTAAGCTCCAGCCATTAGGCAAAAGTAGAGAATAGGAACTATCTGTTTCCATAAATGCTTTAGAGCTTCTTGGGTGCTATTAGAGCCTGAAGTGCCATTAACATTCTGAATGGTTCCTCTTTGATTTCATCTCTGTAGAAGTCCCATGCAACAAAACCGGACTGGTCTTGTTTGCAGACAAAAGCAATCTTGCATTTCCTGCATGGAATGAACAAGGGGGAAGTGCTAGATGGTTCCTGTAGCTGAAGCCTTAAGAGACATCTCTCATCTGAAAGCAGAGAGGAGAGCAGGTCTGCAAAGACAAGGCTGAGGCAATATTTGTGCTGCTCGTCCTCTGGCTCCAGCTTCCCTGTCTAGCTCACAGCTCTCTGTGGCACAGCAGCTGCTTTGGATTACCCTTCTCCTCCCCTTTATTCCCTAGAAGTGTCATGCATATGCTTTCACGTAAGTCTGTTAAATTGCCAAAAAGTCTGTTGCGCAGAAGGCCCTCAACCTTCCCCATCAGTGTGCTGGTGAAATAACCCCCAACTCCTGGGGAGAGTGTGCTGTGGAGAAGTGCCTGTGCTAGCCCTGCTAAGGGAGGGAAGGACATTCCTCTGGCTCTCCTCTTCACCTTTGTGGAGGGTGAAAGAATGATTTATAGTTTAATAACAGAGTAGTGATTAATCAAATAACCGAGGCATCAATTTATTATGAAGTAATTTCCTAAGGATGATAGAATAGCAACTCCAAAATGGGTGCTTTTGGTTGGAGCTCTTTATGAGGCTATGCAGGGTGACTGAGCTGTGCATTGGTTATTTGTTTGCTCTGCTTTTGGTGAGGTGGGGCCTTGTGTTATCAGGAGCTATGCTGGGAGAAATGAGCCTGAGACACAAGACTAATGGTGCTTGAATACAGGGAGGGTGGGTGGAGGGCAGCGCTAGGATTAAAACAGCAGTGGGACCTCCAGTGTGAACTGAGTGATTTGGCAGAAGAAAATGTTAGCAAGGAAAGAGAAATGAGGAGGAGAGGGAATCAAATATGATAGGAGTATCTCAGAGTTTAAGGTATATTTTTATTATGAAACTGGAAGGTTTTCAAGAAGGCTAAAACTCCCCTGAGTCTTTCCTTGGTGGTAGTTGTGTTTTTTTTTTTTTTTTTTTTTTTTTTTAACCCCACAGAAGAAAACATGGGAGAGGGAGCTGGCAAGTTACCAGGCGTTATTTTTCTTATTGTACATGACAGTTTGCATCTTCTTCCACTGAGAGTTACACAGCTAAGCTTTCCAGTGAACGGGGAAAAGAAAGAATTCAGATGGTGACTTTTGGAGGGACAGGGTCAGATTTCCTTTTGGTGATTTTCTAATGGCTACAATGAGTCTTCAGCTAGGGAAACTGCTTCAAATAATGACATGATAATCCTGAATTTTTTTTTTTTTTTTTTTACTTTTACCTAATTTCCATTTGTGTAAACAGAACATGACATTTCTGATCTATTCTTCCCATTTCTCTGCTGTGCCTGAGTATCTCTCAAGGGAACTAAGGGCCCAAACTTTTATTTTTTTTGGGTCTCCTAAATTGTGTATTTTCAGTTACCATTCCATCTTGCTAATGCATGTTTATTTAGTTAGATCAACAGTTTCCAATGTTCAAATGCCTGCTCTGAAACCAGAAATTTGAGTCTAAAGGAGCCTTCTGCTTGTAGCTTCCCTTCTGGCAGAAAAAAAGACTGGAGTCATCCAAAATGAATAAGGGTGAGTCTGAACATACACAAGCCCTGCTGTTTGTCCTGGCTCCCTGACTAACTCAACAAAATATGTTGCATCGTGTCACCTACAGGTTTCTACTTGAACGTCTGGGCTGAGCTCAACAGTCCTGGAAGAAACTTTGGTGTCCCTGAGACCCAGGTTTCAAACGAGCAGACGAAGGTGGCTGCTGCCCTGTGAATCCCTCAGTGCAGTGAGGCCCGTGCGCCAGCCCTGAGCAGAGCAGAGGCGAATCCTGTCAGCTCTCTGGCCCCTCTTTACCTGCTTTCCTGGGGGAAGATGCAATTCCCATGTAGTATGTTAGTACGTGCAGGCTAGGCAGTGTATAAGCAGTGAGAGCTGCAAGATGTCATCCCACCCAGATGAAGAATAAATAGCCATTATTAATAGTGAAGAACCCACTGTAGTGATCTCGGCACAGGAATAAGAAGACCCAGCGTTCCAATGTAACCCAGTCCCTTTTGCAAATGTTTTTTTTTTTGTGTGTAAGAAAAATCAGACCTGAAAAGGGGAGCAACATAGTTGCTAGGGAAGATCCCCACTCTTCCTGTGACAAGTGACATTCCCCGGAGCCAGCCATCATGGTATTTCCCAAAGATGCGGACCCCTTCTCCTTTCTGCAGCTCCAGTTCGTCTGGTCCATGAGCCGTATAGGAGTGGAGAGCCACACACCTGGGAAGGAGAGAGGGAGATGAAAAGAAGGGAACACGGGCTGTAGAGAGGTACCTGCCTTAATGCAAAATGTTTGAAGTGTATCCTGAGGTTCCTGCATTTAATCGTGCTTAAGAACTGATGCTGCTGGCTTGGGGCGAGTGGCAGCTGTTTGCCTGGAGCCTCTTCAACCAGTGCTTGCATCAGAAATTAGGGTGCTGGTGTAACTGTGGAGAGAACTTGCAGGGAAGAAACTGCCTATAACTTGAGGCCAAAGGGAATAATGAATAAAATAAAAAGCCAACAGAAATGAAGAACAAAGCAGATCTTGTCAATAGTTTCTGTCCCAGAAGTGTCGGCCAAATCAGCCAAGGGCAACGAGCAAGGATTAGGGAGGAGAGGGTTGTTGTTCTCGACATTGCATAGTGAGTACTCCATTGAAATAACTGATTAAGGACTAACAGGTACCTGTCCTAAGGCAAAGCAGCATGAAGGAGTGCAGTTAAGATGCTCTCTCCAGGTGATAGCATCAGGAATACATTGTATCTTTGAAGTACATGGTGAGCAAGAGGCCTTGCATCTGCTTGCCTTGAGTATCATCTGGAGGTGTTAAGAGGAGTGGGGAGGAGTCCTCATGCAATAACATCTCTGAAGAACTCTAGTCTATTAACTCTATTTTCCATTTTCTGCCTTGTTCTCCTATGTCCACCTATGGACAGGCATCTACAGCAGTTTAAAAGAACAGCGAGACTTCAGCCGCTATCACTGGGAACTTTTAAGAATAAAGTAGATAAATAAGGGACGACTGAGATTTGGGTGGTTCTTCTTTGGACTGGTGAGGAAATTGGGCAGGAAACCACTCGAGATTTCTTTAGACACCTCTGTCACAGTTCTCAGATTTTTGTTTAGGCCATGAGATAATTGGTTCTCCACAGTGAACCATATGTGACTGTGCAGCAAAACCTATGCTAATGCATGAATAGAGCAAATATTGTGAGGGCAATACAGACTTGCAGGTATTGCTCGTGTATACTAAGGTCTCCCAAGGTCAGGCTTGGTGCCAGGGAAGTGCTTATGATCATCTAGGCAGCTTATTGCTATTTGGTTATTGATAGGTTGCTTACTATAGTGCCAGGCTGACCGGTCTTATCTAGAGAAAACAAGTCACCAGCTATATTTGCAAATTTTAATTCTACGTATTTGGAAGTTTTGTCAGTTTGAATAACGCAAAATGCTAGTGAGTTTTACTGTTTTAAAATAAATTGCTAGAGACATTTAAGGAGTAATTTGCTTATATCTAAAACTTTAAAATATGCTGGTGATAAATGGACAGAATTAGATATCTGGAAATAATTGGGGTAATAAGGTGCGAAGATGGTTATATGCTGGAAATATTAATATTCAAATAGATAAGTTTGATAATAATTAGGGAATGATCAGAATCTCCCTTGAATGTTTCCAGTAGGGTAGCTAAATGCCTGTATATCCTTGATTTCCCTAAAATTAATCTTTGAGTCATTGTCATGTTAAATCTCTGTGATCTCATGGTTAGGACAACAAAGTATGAATGAACATAAGGAACCCTGCATTCTAATGTGGTTTTATCTTCTGACTCTGAAAACTCAGGCAGGAGCCCTAGTTAAACCTCAGGAGAAGACACTGGGAACTGCATGACACCACCACCAAGGTTCAGTTTCCTTACGTACATATTAGCTGATATGTGATGCTGCAGATGGGGAAGGGTGACAATGGCTGCTGAATGCCCCAAAGATCCTGGTGCAGGATAGTAAGATGCACTGACCTGGAGAAAAAAAAAAGGAAAGAAAAAGAACTATTATTCAGAATATAAGCTTATTTTAGTCATTTGGAATAGCAGTTAATAGTGTTTGTCAGGCCTCAAGAATACCTCAAAAAAAGAGAGATCAGACTTCTTAACAAGGATTTCTGTTGCTCTGTGGCTCTCAAATACCATGTAGTGACAGACTGAGAGAGGACCACTGATTTAAACGTAACGCTGTTCAGTGGCAATTCCTTGCTTCCCTTGACATTCTTCCAGTAGATTGCATGGAATGAGATGAGTATCTTGGTTCATTTTGTAGGAGATAAACATCTGCATTTCAAACCCCTGATGACATGACAGTTAATGCTGGTTGTCATTCTCAGCATTGCAAAGCTGTAGACATAAAACAAATGGAACCTTAAGATACTCCATCTCTGAGTCACAGAAATGCTCGTAGAAGGGACTTTGGGGAGTTATATGGTTCAATCCCCCGCTGGAAGTGAGACTCATGGACACAAGTGGCTTTCATTTACTTACAAAGACATCTCGGGAGAAAGAAGAGTTTGGAGCATGTGATGAACAAGTTTAAAATGCAAAATGTGGTAGCAGGAGGACTCGTGATAGTCCTGCTTTAACACTGAGACAGTTTCCTGGGTAGAGTTTGGTAGGGCTGACTGCTTCTCCTGTAAATAAATAGCAAACTCATTCAAGTCATGCTGAGATCATTCATCAGTGGCTGATGTGCTTGCACCCTGGACTTCCAATGCTAAAAATCACCTTTGATTCACTCCTGTCTGTGAGTGAATGGCAGGACATGGGTGGGCAGGCTGTTGTTGCTGGAAAGATGCTAAACCGCAGGCTTATTAGGACAGGCTGTTGTGTGTTCGAGGAGTTTTTCAGAAAAAAAATGATTAAGCAGGATAGATTTAAATTAGTAGCCACAACTTTCAAATGTTAAATTCGAGCCCTAAATCTGTAATCATGGTTACTCTTAAATATGAGATCCTTTTGAGTGAGGAGATACTCATTTATCCCTGTTCTTGTGTTCAGTGTTTTCCCATTCATTTCTGCAAGCTGTGAACAAGATGAGAGTCTTTGATGAGTTTGCTATGTCTAACACTTGCTTCAGGAAGAAAAAGGAGTTTGGCAAAAAAACAGATGTGAACTCCAGACCTGCTAACCAGTAGGAGACTGTGACGTCTGCCAGGTGAGAGACTTGTATAATCATTGCCATTTCACTTGCTATTTACTTAGTTCCAGCTGGGTGTATGGCATTGTATAAAATACAAATAATATAGTCCTTGCCCTGGTGATCTTTTAATAACTATTATTAAAGCTATTTACCATGTCTATGGCGTCCTTCTTCGCCAGCCTTGCCAGGCAGAGGAAAATAACTGTCTGCCGTGCAAGTTGTGGTGCAGGCGCACGGGAAGGGGAGCCTCTTGTTTGCATATGGTTTGAGGCCACTGTTTCCCTACCATCATTTTGCATCTAGGGAGAGGTACCAATCAACCTAATGCCCAGTTTGTCCTCTTCTTGCAGGAGTCTTTCATGTTTAAAGGAGGAACATCAGCATCATTTCTGCTGGCACAGTAACTTTTGGTAGCTGTGTGTTGAACAAGCCCTTGCCTCATCTGCTGCTGAGGTAGGTAAAAGCTCATGCTTCTGTTGCAAATGGGCGGAAAATCAGAAGATAAATGTTAAGCTCCGTAGTGCTGGTGAGACAGCACTGCAGAGGGCTGTGTCCTGGGGCCGCTTCCCCGTGGCTTCGCTCTTCTCAGCAGAAATTCTTGGGGTGGCACCATGAGCTTGCAGTGCACAGGGCCCTGCGAAGGAGGTAGGTGCAGTGCCTGCTCCAAGCGGACAGGCCTGGCCTCCAGCACCAGCGCTGCAGGCGCCTTCCCTGTCCTCTGTCCCCAGCTCTCTGCCCTGGCAGTCCTGGGAGCGATGGCTGCCCCGGGTAGCTTGGGTGAGGCCGTTACGCTGCTGCAGGGCCCAGCAGCACCTCTCTGCAGCGGGGCCGAGCAGCGATTCGCACGGCGAGGGCAGAGCATGCCCTCCTGGCATCGGTACCAACAGCGCCTTGCGGCCTGCCGCTCGCATGGCAAGAGAGACCTGCCATCCCCCTCTGCCCCGCGAGCCTTCAGGTTCTCGTTGAAAACTTACTCAGCTGCTAGCACGGAAGCCCTGTTGTACACTGTGAGTGGGGTTTAGATGGTGAAGGCAGATGATAGGTAGATACTGGTTTCTTTTGAAGTGTTGATCAGGATTTACTGACTGAAAAGCCTAGTGGAGGAGAGCATGGGCTGAAATTCCTCAAAGTTCAGCATGTGCTTTACTATGTTCCCCCTACTTTTCTTCAGCAGAGAAGGTGAGTACGTATAGTGAGTCCACACGGCTATAACCTTCCCTTCTGCTGGCTTCTGAGACCTGAAGAGGCTGAATTTTGCATGGGCTAGAGGAACAATGTACGCTAGAAGTGCGTTTCCTCTCCTTGGCTGCAGCTAGTGGGACTGTTGCTTCCATGTGTGTCACGGGGTCTGTTTGTCTTGAAAAAACAAAGGAGCAGCCAATCCATCACTTGATTATTTTTGGCTCTTCAGAAACCAAGCTTTTCTGATGTGCCAGAGTTTTTTCTACTTTTTCACCCTTTCATATGTCTTCCCATTTTCAAGTTAGGGATATGCTTAGTGTTTAATTTTGAAAACTTTGTTTCCAGCCCTCTTCATGGGCAAAGTTCTTCCCAGAAGAGAGTGAGGCACAAATACATCTACAAGCAAAAGGTACTTGTGATTTCATTCATTTCTGACTTAATCCTTTGCAACTGCTTTAGCTAAACTACACTGGTGCGTGCTTGTAACTGAGACCATGTTTTGCTTTTCATTGCTCTTTGTATCAATGCAGGGATTAAACCTGACCATTCAAGAGAATCCAGCGTGGTGTGTGGGAGGGGGGAGGGAAGGCTGGCACTGACCCAGCGGTGCTCAGTGCGAAGCCAAGGGGCGGTCACTGCGTAGCCCTTCTGGAGACCAGCTCATCTGAGATGAGGCTGGCACCTGTTTCTGGAGGGTTTGAGCAACCTGTGGGCAGGACCTGTTACTTTTTAGTGGCCCAGGCTGGGATATCACTTCAGGGTCCCCATCGGCCACAGGCTGCTTGTAAACCAGGCAGAGGAGGAGACACCAGAGCACAGAGCTGACTCATTTGTGCAGAAAAGATGAGCTTTGGACAAGGTCCATCAACTTAGGAGGTTGTCACTCATTTTCCTTATCAGTAGCAGTCTCGGTGCCAGTTCATCCTGCAAAATCAGCCTGTGCTTTATATCTACTAGCAGATAACGGCTGTTGCTTGCTTGCCTTGAGAGAAAACATTCGAGCATCAAGCTAATTTATCTAGGCCAGCAAAGAAGGGCAGGCACATGCAGGTTACAGTCTGCTGTGCACCTCTGAACCCTTCTAGGAAAGGGGGTTGGAGACATGGTGTGAGTAAAAGGGTAGAGGAAACTACTCATGGCTAATGAGGGCTGTGATTACTCACTTCATTAGTTCAGCAGTTTATTTCAAGGCCTTCAAGTCGGATGGCCTCTCTGGGGCTGGCAAGCGCCGCGCTCCCCTCTGGTGTGCTGAGGGGAGGACAGAGCCTCCCTGCTGCACACGGAGACATGGGCATTTTTTCATTTGATTTCCAGTGCAAAGGCAGTTACTGTTTCATAGCTGTTTTGTCGAATGATTGGGAAAACTGGTACCAGAGCTACTAGAGATGGAAAATGTTAATCCTTTTCCAAAAATGCACAAAGATTAAACGATCCTAAGCTACGTTAGCCAACTATGCAAGATACATTAAGAAATGCCAGTGCAGTGCTCCGTGGATGGCGCATGTCGGGGTGTCTTCTCTTGCATTTTCCCCTCTCTGGCTAGGCAGGCTCTCCTGGAAGGCGCATTGGCCTCTTTCCTCGGGGTGAGGACACTTGTGTCATGGGAGGGTTATCTGACCAAGGGAGTCCTGCCATACCAGAAGGTGAAGGCATTGGGCTGTATCCTGCTGGGAGCTCTACGATAGCTTGTTTTAATGGAAGTATTTTTCTTGTTGCTGCAAATTGATTTTATCATTGGGGTGCAACATCTTTCAATGAAAACTGAGAATTTTCTAGGGAAGGCAGACCATCCCTTTCACTTCAAAGTCCAATTCAGTCAAATAGCAAAGCAGAACTATTGAATCTGGGCTCTCTTCACTCGCCTTCGCTTCCTCCTTGTTCACCCTTTCAGCAGTGAGCCAGAGGATTAAATGAAACAAGAACAATTCAATCTCTGTCCTCCAGAGGTGGTCCCTCTGGACAGGGCTCAAGCACGTGCACTTCTGTAATGCCTTGCTTTGGAGGATCTCCAAGTGCTTTGTGAACACTAAGGGATTAGTGAGGTCTCTGAAAACCCCCAGGAGCAGGGAGGTTTTGTTATCTCTGGCTCACAGATGGGGAGGCCAAGGTCTGTCACGTGTGCTGGAGACAGCAGCGTTGCCACACCTGGCACTGCACCAGCTCCAGCAGTTGGGAACCATGTCCCCTTGTTATGAGCCTGCCACCTTCACAGCCAAGATAGACTCTGAGAACTGTGAGAGCAGGCGGCGCTACTGAGCACTGCATGGGAAGGTCTGCCCGGCTGATGCTTCTCTGTGCTATCAGGGCGAGCTCCTGACGCTCCATCCGGTTTCTACCCAGGAATGTTGCTTCTCTTTTTGTCATCTCCGTGCCGTTCTGGGACAAGGGGCTTCTGGTGGCAGGTTGTCGTGGGGGAATAGAGCAAGCAACAGACTGGCCTGTCTTCAGAGCCTGCATCCCCGGGCCGCAGGAAAGGGTGGCACTGCTCAGCGTTCATCATTTCAGGCATGTGCATCATAATCTGCTCTGCTGATTTATCCCTTTTGAAGAACAAAAATGGTTCCCAGAGTGATCTAATGCATGCAGTCCGTTTGTTCACGTTGGCGATTCCTGCCTCCATAAGCCAAAGGGCACTAGCTGTATTGCAGCCCTGGAGGAGGGAGCTGTTTTCGGGAGGTGCAAACGGTTCCCAGCAGTAGCGCCGCTTCAGTGGAGATCCCTGGGAAAACTCAGGGCCCGTGGAAGGTTCCCGGGCTGGAGCTTGGCTGGCAGCTGTGCTCCCCAGGAAAGACCGCAAGACCTTTAATGACGCAGGTAGTCAGAGCTTTCATCTCTCATTCATTTCAGACCTCATTTCTAGTGGTCATGTCTCTAATACCATGCTGGGGCATTTTCGTAGCATGGACCTAGCAGGGAAAAAAGTGACTCACCAGCTCTGTTCCTCTGTAGTGAATTTAGTTAATTAAAACACCAGCAACTACAGCCTCTGTTTCTGGACCTGGAATGGCAGGTAAGCTTCAAACCATCTTTGCATTTCTTGTTTTCTGCTCCTGCTGGGAATCAGACTTGCCTCTCTCATATAAATGCAGCTGCTTGGAAATTATCAATCTATTTAAACAATTTTGAGAATCAAAAGTTTTGAAAGCTGGAGTTTCTTCTCCTGTACTTGCTAGTATTCCTGATGAAACTTTCCCTCTGGATGGGGAGGTTAATTTTTTAACCTCTCTCCATTCCCAGTGGGTACATAATCAGCAATCCCTTCAGAGCCTGTGCCAAAACTGCTTTTGTATTTTCTTTGAATATTTTCTAGCTAGGTATAGGTACAAAAGTGGTTTCTGGATTTAGCTGTTTTATCTCCTGCAGGTATCTTGCAAGCCCTTATTCTGTCTTTTCTCAACACCCTTTCTTACTCCTCCTCGCTACTCAGCTTGTCCCTAGCATGTTTTCTAGCTTGGCTTCTTCAATAGCTCCTACTTTTCCCTCCTGAAAGAGGGGAATTCCTTGTCAAGAGAGTGTTTGTGAGATGGTTTGTGAGTTAGGGATATTTTCTCTCTTCCATTACGAAAGCAGTAAATGCTCTTGGTACTACTGAAAGTCCTTCATATTTCAGATAATTTTACATTACAAGAAAACCCAAATGTTACCTGACAGTGGGTGCCAAGCGCTGACTCTCTTTAAAAGTAGTGAAGTGGGGAGCCGCCCCAGCGCTGCGGCAGGACGAGCGCGTTGCTGCGCGTGGCGAGGCGGGAGCCGCTGTGCGCAGGGCTGTCCGCCCCGGCCTCTTCCCTTTTATGGCCTGAAATGAGCCTGGCCTCGTTGCAGCGGTGCCAGCGCCAGGCAGCAGCTACAGGGTGGCTGGAAACTCTAGAAATACCTAACCTGGCTTTTCTAACCTCCGTTTCTTACTCCTGCCACGAGCTGTGCCTCTCCTGCCATGTGCGGCCTCCTGGGGGGATGTCGGCACGGGGCTCTTCAAGGTGCCAGCGCCACTCCTCATCTCCTTGGGGCTTACGTAGCCTTGTAGCTTGGGGCAAGTGTCACGTAATGAGAGGTTACTGGAAAATTCCCACTCTCATGTGGTGAGAAAAAACCCTGAACACCCCAAGTTAAGGGATGGAGACCTATTCAAGATATCTACTAAAAATATTATTACTATATCTAAATCTATCTTCAGTATCAGTCTGAAAGCATGTCCTTGTGGAGGAGATGGACTGAAAGGCTTGGCTGGCAGTAGTGTTGCTTGTTTCTCAGTTTCCCTTTGCTAAGGTTTTTTCTGCCCCATCCCATCCATGGCAGCTGATGCTAAGCCTCCCCCTCTGCATCCCGAGTCGCTCGCACCCAATGGCAGCACTGCTCCCTTCCCACCAACTCATCTGCCAAAGCCCTACAGCCTCATCTCGCAGAAGGTATGAAGTGAGCTCATTGCCCGAAGGACCAAGCGTGGGCCCGGCGCGAGCAGTGGGGCTCGGGGCCGCTGCTGCCCCGGGTGGTTTCTAGGTGGGCAGGAGGCTGCGCTGCCTGGCCGTGGAGCCCCGGGCTGGCAGCTGCTGCGGCCTTGCCAGGTTTCACGTGGCAGCCCCACTCGGCGCCCGGGCTTCCCTCGCTCGCAGGGCGGGCGGGGGCTGCGGAGCGCATTCCTCATGCCCGTGATTCACCCCAGCCCTCGAGCAGAGCCTCTCCGCTTCGCCCAGCGCTTCTCGCTCCCGTGCAAATACTGGTTCCCTCTCAGCATGTCCCTCCTCCCACATGGCAAGAGGAAAGGCTCCCAGGAGGCCCTGGCAAGGCGGCCACTCTGCAGCCCTTCTGCATGTGGGTTCTCCTTCCTTTTAAAGGCTGCTGCATAGAGCTAAGCCATCCTTCAGTTAAACATCTGCACCCCATGTGTTATCTTATGGAGCAACTCCCATTTAACAGCCAGTGAAGTTCTTACCTGCTTTGCTCTCAAAACTTATTCTGCCTGCCAGGTTTTGAGGCCCCCTTGTGAGACCTTGCTGTTCGCAGGCGGCTCGCAGATGCGTTGCGAGCAAGGCTCCGTACTCATGGCTCAGCAGAAAGCACGGGCTCGACGCCTGCCTGGACCGTGCTGAGAATACAACCCGGCATGGAAACAGCTCGGCTAGAGATTCGGCTCCATCTGCTGCGCCAGATTTGTGACCACCCACAAAGATCCAGGCCACTTGGCCTCGGAAAACTCACTCAAGGACACAGAAATGCACAGCAGTAATTAAGGGTGCAGTTCAATCTGTGCAGCTCCTTCGCTCATATCACTGCGCCTAACAAAAACCCTGGTTTGATGCTCAGACTCCAAGGCTGAACTTTCAGCACTAGCATTGTTCATTATTTCTAAACCTTTTCTATCTTATTTGGAGTAGTTTAAATCCAAGAAACAGATCATTTTTCCTCCAGATGGTGATGTGTGTGTAAAATTGCCCTAATACAACCACGCTTTTGGAGATGCACTGCCATTTTTTCAAAAGTCTGCTACTATCAGTGAAAAAAATTCACAATAGTTGACAAGTTCTGGGGAAAGTAACCTTTGAAATTAACATCAGCTCTTGTCTCTCTCATTATTTTACAATTATTCTTTACTTGTATCCCTTATCTTGGATTTTTTCTTCTGATCATTAAGTTTCCCTTATTAACAAATTCTCCACTGCAACTTTCAATCTGATTAATATTAGAAATATTAGAAAGCAAAATTAAAAAAACAACATTGTCTAACCTGGCAGTTTGTGCCTAGACTTGCATAACAATCTCAAATCTGCAGGTCAATCAAATTCAGCAGCCAAAATTTGGATATGAAAAGGGGAAAAACTGCATCCCATGTGGCCATAAGAAGAGCAAATACAGCCTCCTGTAAATCTCCAGCAGAAGGAAATTAGCATATAGTAAAAAGGAAATGCAGAACCATTCTAATGCAACAAGTTAACATTTCCACTCTATTGCTTGTGTTGTTGACAATTGTTCACCGAGACGTTTTTGGTAAAGTGGTACTGGGTTCATGAGATGTGATGCAATTGCAATTGAATTATAGTTCTATTGTAAGCCTTCATTTCCTCTCACATAAAACAGGCTCTAACAACCAAGGCTCTTTGCAGGCTCGTGCTAAGTACAAAATGCCTGCTGGCTTTTTATGGCGTGGAGACTGAACTGGTAGGGGATTGCTTATTGCTTTAGAAACCATTTAAAGCAACTTTGAATATGACAGATGTCATATAAATCTAAACAAAAGCTACTTCCTCCCATTTGAAATGATCTATAAAGATTCTGTATTGATATTTTAGGTCAGAGTGTGAAGAAGGAATGAGACTTTTTCTCCTGAAATGAGGTGAGAATATGGCCCAAAGGTCAGCTTGGCTCTGGTCTCGGCCTGATTCCAGCCCCCTCTCAACTTGCTCGAGCTGGGCTTTGGCTCATAGCCAGGCAAGGACTCTGTGGTAATCACAATCTCGTGGTAGAAACCCTTGATCTAGACATGGCCAGATGCAGGTAGTAGGGTGATAGGGCACAGGGCAAAGACTCTACCTGCCTTTAAGAAGGGAGAAGCCTGGGTAGCAGAAGCAGGAGGCTGGATGATTGCAGCAGGTGTTGTAGCATGACACATGGTTGATTTTTATGAGGAAGCTGGTTTGACTTATGAGAAAAAAATAATTGTTTAGAACGTGGTAATGAAGCTCTGTGTTTTTGGACAGGATTTCCCATGCCAGAACATCTGTATACGCCCTGCAAAGCGGTGGCAAAGCCCTGGCTTCCTGGGCTGGGCGCGCGGCTCAGGGCAACCATGCAGAGCATGTCCAGCGCTCTGTGCCGCTTGTGCGTGACCCGCACGCCCGCGCTGCAGGGCTGGAGCGCATGGAGCGGGCAGCGCGCCGCAGGCTGGCTGCACGGGCACCTGGATTTGCCTGTGAAGGTGCAGGATCCTCTCTAAGTGTTCGAGGGCCTTAGGTTCCACCTGTGAAAAATTTCTAGGCAGAACTGAGGTGGGTGTAAGGATATCCAAGGATGTGATACCCTGCATAGAGAGTTTTGCCTTTCTAATACAAGGTTTTTGGGGTTGGGGGGCTGCTTGTGTTCTTACTAACAAAACTGAAATACAACAGGGAAAAAAAAATCCCCCAGGTTTCTACTTTGCCTTGAGTCCAATATCAGCTGGAAAGACCTTTAAAACAATGGCTGCCAGCACAGACCCACTCATTAGAGTGCAGCTATTTCATTAATCACACTAGGCTTTATTGCCTCGTAACTGAGCACCTGATTCTGCAGGCCCTTCCTGCTCGAGACCTGACATTGCCATAGGGTGACAGTGGCGAAACGCCCCTCGCCCGCAGTCAGCGAGTTACCCGTGAGCTCGGCACTGCAGGAGCTGCACACCCAAGGCGTTCATGGCAACACACACTAGTACTTGCAGCTCAGTTCGGAGATGAGCTAAGAAAGGCTCTCTTCACTGAAGCAGCACAGCTGAATGTGGCCCAGATTGCTTTTAATTTAATTTTGCAGACACTGAGTGCAGTGTGTCTTGGATCAGCTTTGTAATATGGGGATGTCAGTGGGGATGCTGCTGCTGCCTTACCTGCACAGGCATGCCATAAGGAAGCTCCCCTTTCTCGCTGCTCTGGGTCACCACGGTGGGGTTGCTGGAGCTGATGAGCACAGGAGAGCTGATTTCCAAGGTGTGCCGGTCGGTGGGGGAATGGACCATCCTGTTGAGCGTGTTTAAGGCAGTTGTGATTGAGAATTGTCTCAGGCTCTTCCTTCTCGAGTCTGATACCTTGTGGAAAGCCGGTGAATCTGCGCCTTTTGACTTGGTGGCTGATGTTCTTAAAGGTGATGCACACTTAAACTGAGGGGACTGATGGCTTTTGCTTGTCTGCAGGAGTTTTCTTGCAGTAGAATTTGGCTGCAACAGAAAAAAGAAAAAAAATAATGCTAGTATTTCAGAAGTTACACTTCTCACAGATTCAGCCCAGTGATTGCTCTTTTCTTTTCCCTATGTTTTTCTGTCTAAAAGTACAGTTGTATTCAGATTTGAGATGACATCATAGGTGATCATTAAAATTCGTGGCCTTTTTAAATGTTACTCTTACGTTTTCTATGACAAATCCCAAATGTAAATTTACTGATACAAAGCTGACAGCCAAGTTAAAATTGGTTTGAAAAATTAGTTCCTTAGTCAATGTTACTGAGACGTGAATGACTTCTCCCCGTGCCTGCCCACCCCCTCCATGCTTGTGCTTTACAGAAAACTTCATTTTTTATGAAAATCTTTGACTTGCAGATGCATAAGAGGAGATGGATGGCCCTCCAGCAGAGCGTTATAAGAAACTTAACTCTAAATTAGAAGGGGTGTCTGGGCACATCTTCCTCTTACATTTTGTGCTAGCAAACTTGGGTACATATCTCAACAGGATATTAAACCTCTGCAGTTATATTTTAGGCATTAATTGAGAGAAGTCCTCCCTGATAGTGGATAGTTTAGGAGCACACTTAGATCCATACAATTATGGCCGTCTAGGCCAAAACACTCATTGCTTGATCCTATTTTCATTGAAAAAAACCCCAGCCTTTTAACCATTGTTTTTAATGAGAGGAGTCAGGCCCTAAATTTGCATAGAGGCACAATTTAAACAGTATTTCTTGGAAACTGCTGATCACTACAGTATTAATAGCAAAGGGCATGTGGTGACAATGTTTTTTTACCATGATGACTGCCAAATGAATTAATCATGATTTACTGCTGACATTAACGAATTGCAAAACTTTAAGATTCTCGCCCACTCATGTGAAGCAATATGCCTGGCTCCTGGGATGAACAAGAATTACTCTTGCACAGAATAGGTAGTTGTCTTAAGCATTTTCATTTTAAAGTATGGATTGTTTTCATGTTTCCCTCCTCCTCACTTCTTAAATCAACGTTTAAAAACCATAGTGTGCGCATGTGTACACATAAAATAGTAATATTGTCATTTCTATATGTCATTAAACCTTAGTCTAAACCAGAACTATTTTGCTGCTTTGACTCAGCACCAGGGGACTGGATAAAATGGGGCACAAATTTAAGTGTCAAAGCCAATAAAAGTCTCGTATCTGCCAAATTTGATCTACCTTTGCCTTCTTCAATATCTGGTGACTTTATATGGTCCTAGTTAACTTATTTTTTGTTAATGTCAGATTTAAATAAGTAATTACTGAATTAAAATGATTTCATTAAACGAAAGACATTTTACAAAATATATTAGAACTTCAAATAAGATCTTTTACTAGTGTCTTTTTATAAAACAGTCATGAAGACATGCTTGCCCTAATTATGATCATTACAATTAATTTTATTTCTAGGAATTCTTGTTGGTGCCATTTACACCCTGCATCTCAAGCTTAACTGTAGGAATACAATTAATGTCTAGACCAGCGCTAACAACAACAACAGACACTGTTAGAGCAGGTGGTTTAAAGGGTTCTGGAGACGGCCAGGACCATGACGCCACCTGCGACGCTCTGGTTTGGCTTGGGCAGAGCGAGGCTGCTTGTGACTTGAGGCCCTATGTGATCCACAGCCGGTTGGTTGGACTTGCGATATGTATCCTCAACGAAGCATAGTTATTATACATAATTATAGCAGAACCAATTATAAATGCTATTTTGATACTCTGCCAGAAATTGGGTATTTTTGAACCCCAGTTTTGTCCATATTGGGCTGTCCTGTTTCAGTGAGGGAGAGGGAACTGCCCTCGCTCTCTCAATCAGAGGCAGCTGGAGGTGCCACGGGCCGCGCGCAGAGCGGGTCAGAGCCGGGCTGTCTGCTCGCTGTGGGGATGGATTGAACACGCTGAGAACAGGCTGTACCTACCTCCACAAACAAGATGGGGAAGATCCCTACTTTGTCGCCTAACTTGCCCTCTGCCCAGTTTTCATCAACTCTGCTGATGACGGTGATGATATCACCCTGAAAGGCAGGAGTATATTGTTACCAACTGTCTCTTGTGGGAGAGGTGGATAGTAGGTGTGAAGAAGGATTCACCCTGTAATTTCACAAAGCAACCTTGTTAAGTAGCCTCAGTGGTGTGTCCCCTATAAAGCCCTCTGTTCAGCAAAGCTTTCGGTATGTATTTATTCTGAAACACAGGCCTGTCTGTCCTTATTCAGCACAATGCTTACGCGTGTTTTTAATTTAAAGGTGCAGGCCTGGCTGCATCAGGAGCGTGGAAAGAATCTAATGCAAACTGCATGAAAAGCACAAAAGCTTTTAACTTCTTTGGAGGCTTTCATCATGTGGAGATTCTACAATCACCATGCAACAAACTAATAATGAAAGTGGCATTTTTGCTGTATACCAATGAAAAAAGCTATGCAAATATCTGGGTAAGTGGTGTCATGCTGCCAAGAAACTCAGATCACTTTATGGTTTTGAAAAATCCTGGTATGGTGGAAATAGCTGAAATAGAAGGGAAAAAAAGCTAGTTTGTATTGACATATAGCTAAATCTCATTGGAAAGACTTGCACTCTGAGCAACCCAGCAATATTTAAACCTTGTTAATTTTTCATATATTTTAATTTCAACTTTTTAAGGATATGTCAGGGGTGTATGTATCAGAGGGAGGGAGTAAATAGTTTTACAGACACAAATTGTTTTTCTCTCTTTTGAACTAACACACAAAGTTTGGGGCTAAAATTTTACTGGCTCCAAGGTTCTAAGTGCTGGAGGAGGCTGGTTTCTGCTGGCCAAAATGTCTGTGTTCACATGATCGCCATTTGAATGGGTAGGAGTTTTGTATTCCTCTTGCAGTGAGGTAAATGGCTCTGGAGGGTCAGCCAGGCAAATCAAGGCTATCTGCTCTCTACTTCCTTGAACAATAAGAGATTGTTGCTTGGCAGTATGCTAGAATCGCTACATAAATTTCCGGGTAGGTTTGTTGCCAAGTTACTGTCAGCTTATCCCAGAGGTAGGGCAAAGGTATGTGAAGATGGGGCAAATAGCAGAGTGTTAAACAAAAAGAGGTATTTTGTCAGGATGTGAGAGGTGATGAGACAGAGAAGCTCTCTGCGCAGCCAGGTGCAGCTTGAGAGCAGGCAGCAAGAGCTGAAGATTTGAAGGTGGGTTTTTTTTGGGGGGGAGTGGGGTTGGTTAGTTGTTTTTTTTGTTTGTTTTTATGCAGACAGTTCAGAAGCCAGCTCTTATTTTTGAACAAGTAGATCAAATTGCCTCAAGAAGCAGTATTGGTCCTGACATTTTCTTGAGCTTATTTTAGAAGGAAGTTACCAAAATAACAGCACCAATCTTTCAGCACTTCACGGATCAACCGATTGGTGTTGCAAAGCATGGCTATAGGAGGATGTTCTTGCCTCTTTGAAGAAGCATCTGTTTTAGATGAGTGCTGACTCTCTGTGTGTGAACTTTGCTGTGGGAGCGGAGATGAACACAGCCTCTTAAAGCAAATAAACGGAATGAGTAAGCAGTGAAACAAAGACAAATAAAGTGGAAAGGAAAAAAACAAATGGGAGAAAACTGAGGAAGGTGCCTTTTGTTAATAAGGAAATTGCAATGATGAAGGAAGGGTTGCTGGCTCTCCTCTTTGTTTGCAGCAGCAAGGAGAAAACTCACCCTATATAGGGCTGCTGCTGATGTGATGCTGCTCTGAGAACTGCTTTTTCTCCTTTAGTGCCTCCCCGTCTCAGTCAGAAACCACAGCTGGCTCTCAGCTATTTGATTTTTCTTGTCTGCTGACCACCCTCCCTTCAGCTCTGGCTCCTTGGGGACCACCTGGCCTGGACCACTCCCTCTCCTGCCTCTCCGTCAGTGAGAGCTAGAAGACCATGAGAGCTGTGCTGCCAGCTGGAAAGAAGCAGAGGTGACTTTTCTGTTAGGAGACTGATACTCGTAGGCACCGATTTCTCTGTTTTGCTCTGTGATGCCTCGCCTCATTTTGACACTGTAGGGAGAGCAGACTTTGGGAAGTGCAGTTAAGTCAGAAAGTCTGTACTTGTAACAGAAAACAAATACGAGTTCTGTAACCTTTGGGGAATAAAAAGATACAGGAAAAGATTAGGTATTACTCTGAATGTATGTCTAATAGACTTGCTGAATATGTTCAATGTGTGTAAACAATATATCCCTTGTCTCAGAAGCAATTTTCTTTAATATGTCATTAAGCATCTTTTAAAGATACCACTGGAGTGTTTTGGTACTGAAAGCAGACTGCTAATATCATCCACTCCTGAGTGATGAGGAGCCTTATAGCGAAGCTGAAACAAGGGACTCAAATTGCTAATCACAGATTGCACTTGCATCCCTCTCAAGAATGCTCCTCATTCTTGAAGTATCAGTGTGTGTCCTTGTGGAAGTTACGTGTGAGATTTTTCAGCCACTCACGTCAGTGTCTAATATACTAGTGAGGCTTTGCAACCCTACTGATTTTTGTACAGAGCTTTAGGATTTTAAAAAGAAGGATGCTATGGAGTCATAAAGGTATATGATATGACACAACCTAGAGTGGAAAAACAGCCTAAGCCGTACTATCTAGCTTCTGGCTATGGAAAGGGTGACGTTACCTTATGAAATGTCAGGCAGTCTTTGTTTTCATTTTTGTCCCTGCTTCTTAGGTCGAAGTTATAAAGTGCTCTACAGAGGGGTGGTGGCAGCGGCAGATGCTTGATGACTTGTACGGAGCTGGCTGGAAAAACCCCGCTGATACCATTGATCTCACCCAAATACCAGTTTTCATCCAGCTGTCGCAGCAACATGATGATGTCTCCTTTATTGAATCTCAGTTCCCCAGGATTGTGCCCACGGTAGCTGTACAGGGCCTTGGCTCGTGGAACCTGTGGAATGGACGAGAAGGAGCCCTTAGAGTTCATCTGTGACAGTGATCTTTAATTAGGTAGAATGTCCCAAAACATTAGTAATTACTGGAAAAAAAAAGTTGAGAGGTCTAACACTTAAGCAAGCTTTAACTGTGATTAACTACCCACATCCTTTCTTCTCATCTTTTCTACAGAAGACAAGCTCCCAAGCCCTTATTCCAAATTTGTATCAGGATGAAAAGCAGGCTCAGCTTGTTTAAGAACATTAAGAAACAATTAATTCCTTAAGCCAGTCTTCCCATGGGATCTTAATGTCTGCTGTAAGTTCTCCTATATTCAAATGTCCATTTTAATAAGCTAGGATATTTCTACTTTAGAATGAGTTGCGGTCACACCAGTGGTCCAGCCAACCCACTTGAAGTGGCCAGCAATGCATGCTTCAGAAAAACCTAGAAGAACAACGTAAGTGCAGGTTACTACTTTCCCAGGGTAATCTCCCTGTTAACACTGTGACCATGACTTTATTTTTGTCTTCAATGTGGATTACAGGAAGAGAGACTTTCTTAGTATTGTTGTTGCAGCATGGTGTGATCCCAAGATGTACAATTTGAGAGTGGGGTAGCACATATTTTTCCTAGGATGTGAGTGCAGATATGCTGAAGTTTTCTGTTCTTTATGTAGCTGTTTTAGATATGTGTGCACTGGGGCTCTGCACACAGGAAATCAGGAAGACTGAAAAACTTTTATTTTTAAGTGCTTGTGTTAAACAGCAACAGACATATCTCGAGTGAGCGAGAAGATTTTCTGGATGAGAGTGTGTTCCACAAAACTCCATCCTAAAATAAATAAGCAATTGGTCTGTTGTCATTTTGCAACACCATACTTTTACGTGAAATGCAAAACATTGAGGAAAGACTCTCAGCAGAGATGAGAGTTACATTCTGTCCTTCTACTTCTGATGTGTGCTTGACTGCTGTTGGGAAGCGTGTTTTCCTCCCGAGGAATGGCTGCCAGCCGACCGCTCTTCTCCCTCCCTGCAATCCCTGCAGGAGTTAGAAGTAACAGTCAGGAGAACAAGTAGTCTTGTGTTTACTTGTAGAGCATGGACCATTTAATGATGCTATTTTAGCATGTTGGTATATAATATAAGAATTTCTCTCATGCATGAGGCTGTTCCAATGTGCAAGGGTGGCCAAGGTGAAGCACTAGCAGTTCTGCAGCAGCATGCCTTTGGGGAAATCTCCCATCTCTTGAGGCAAATAGCGATTGTCTTTGGCATGAAGTAAGGTAGTGAATACATATTCTAAACAATTTTATGAGCTTGTATAGCTGCAGATATTGCTTTTTCTTGAATCACGCACAATTCTTTGTTTCAAGAGTATCTTCATCCTAGGTTCTTTTCCTTACTCAAAAGGGATTAACTGCTCTGTCACTTCTGCCTCCGAGACCTTGGCTGTAGCTGATGTGGAAAGCAGTTGTGAAATGGAGCAGATCCATTTGTCAGCTCCGTCCCTTTCCCCACATACGGTGGTGTCTCCTCCAGAGGCTTCCGTGGACCCGGAGGGGCATGTCTTGAGTGGGGATGGAGGAAGAAGACTAAGATGCTGCCTATGCAGGATCCTGCTAGTCAGCAGCAGTAGTTTTAACTTTACTGCAGGAGCTTAGGCTGGTCTGAGCCCCAGCTCGGCTCTCCGCCTGTGAAATGGCACAGTGGCGATGCCAACTGCATTTTGCCTGTAGAAGATGAAGAATTGGTTCACAGGCTGGCTTTCTGCAGTGAGATGCAGCTTCAAATCACATGAACCGAAACCTGTGTGGAACATATCCAGGCGCGTTTACCCGCCGCTGCGCCACTTCCCTGGGCCTGCTGCCTCAGGCCGCGCCAAGATGGCCGCCGCCACCTGCCTGAGGGCCACATCCTCCTTCCCCGGCACTTGGGATATTTCTGAGGGGAAGCTTTCCTCTGCAGCCATGCTAGCCCGCTCCGAGGCCGGACTTGCCCCGAGGCTGCTGTTTGTGTGCAGAGGAGCTGTGGGCCGGGGGTGAGGTGTCCGCCAGGACGGGAGGGGACGTGGCATCCAACAAACCCGCTGTCCTCAGAGGCGCCTCAGCTGACCCCTGCCATAGCCACCCTGCGGCCCTGGGAGGGACATCTGGCTTCACGTGTGGAGAACACAGCAGGAAAGGGTCTTCCAGTGCTCTCCACAGCCATCCATGGCCGGGAAGAGGAGCCAAAGGCTGGAAACTCCAAGTACTGGCTTCAAAGCGTTTGAAATAGGAAATGATTAATTTAATGCTCAGTCCTAATTAAGCTGCCCTGCCTGTTAACTTGTGCGAATAGCAAAAACATGCACTTGGCTTAATGGTGTTGAAGGTACAGCTCTGGCGCAAAGGAAAATCACGAGGATGGGAAAGGAAGAGCAGGAGTACCCAGGATGATGAGAGAATGGCTATGGTGCAAAACAGAGCGGTGTATAAAAGGCACCAAGAACGAGTTATGGAAATACATTAAAAACAGGTGAGACTCTGAAGAGAAATGCATATCTACTGCTTTCTGGGGAAAGGTGAGCAGCCAGCGAGATGCTGAAGAGCCTGGAATATTCTTTATTCCCTTTGATTGGAGGGAAAGAAAAAAAAAAAGGTGATCAGGTGCTTCGTGAGTTGATTTTAACAAGATGGGAGTGCAGCTGGCACACGCAGCTGCAGACTGGGTGCTGCCACGCGCTTGAGCTGCGCAGCACCCCGAGCTCCCGGCTGAGCCCACGGTGGGATTGCCCATGCGCGGCGGCAGCCCCAGCCTGCTGCTCTGTGTCCTTTGTCCCTGCAAAGTGTCGTGGTTTGTGGGCTGGAAAAAAAGAATCACTGCATAAACTTGCACAATGGTATTAGTGCTACCCAGAGATTTCAAGCTGAATTTCGATTCCAGTCTTGGCTTGCAGCAATTTTTAAATTTGCTAAGTTCTTCTTTGAAATTTGGCTTTGTGAATGATGCACGATATTTGGGTAACATATTATTTGGCTGTAGGTGCATAACCTCGGGCTGGCACCTGCTCTGATCTGTTTTAAGAATGAGTTATATCTAAGTAAAATGAACCTTCATTGTCTAAATATGTAACGTCAAGAGCAGAGCAGGATATTCAGCCTCTCTGTGCTCCTCTAGGCAATCCCCGCAGCGCGAGGACAAGAGGCCTCTTCCAATGGGACATGAGTGGGCTGCTTGGCTGCTTCAGGTAGGTCCTGTTTGGGGTGGCGGCAGCGTTTGAAGTGGTTGCCTGGCGGGCGCGCTCCACTGAGACTGGTGGCCCCGTTAGTACTGCTGGCGTGTCCAGAGGGGAGTTGCTGGGGCTGAGCTGCCTGGCTCCGTGCAGGAGGGAAAGGCCCTTGCTGCCGGTGTCAGCGCGGGCTGCAGCTCTAGGCTGAGACGGCCCTAGCCACTGCTCCGTGGAGCACAGGAAGCCAGGAGGTCTCAGCTAGCGCAGGAAGAAATGGAAATGAAGATGCTTGTGGTTCAGTACCGAGACAAGGGGAAGAAACAGGCCTGGTCAGCTACATGGATTCACGGCTTCCTGAGGGCAGCCATGCAAGAAGGAGCCGCTGGGCTGATGGAGTTGCTGATGTGTTGTGGCTGCCTCCAGAAGGCTTTTCTTGTACTGGCTGCCGTTTCTCATGGGGTGAGAAACCTCTAGGCCTGCTTCTGGGCGCAGGCTTTCCCAGGCTCTGCCCACAACCAGGAATGTGGCATAGCTGATGCAGTGGCTTCCCGCAGCTTTAAGCATAAGATTAAGGATGAGGAACAACCTTTATAGCTCTCCTCCTGCCTTTTCCTCTTACTTCTATGTCTTTTCAAATCTTACTGCTTCTTCCTTTTCAAGTTTCTCTAAAAAGTTTTCTCTTTCAGAGTTATTTTTTTGGAACTAGCAGTGATTAACTCCTTACAAACATATCCCTAGGTACTTCCCCATCCTATGCTCTATCCAAAGTGCATTTTAGGAAATTTCTTCCCATCCTGTCCCTCTGAAATCCTCCCAGCAGTTTTTTCCCTCCTTCCAGATTAGGCTGAGTCTATTCGCCATGAGAGGTCTTTGCAGTCTCAGTTGAACATAAATCTCTTTCCTTTCTTCCTACATGGCCTCTCGCCCCCTGCCATCTGCAGCCACTCCTCAGTTTCCAGAGCTTCCTTCCTCTCCTCCCACTCGCTTCTTGCCTCTCCTTCGCACAGGTTTCCTCCTGCGCCTGGCAGAGCCTCTGTCTAAGCCTGTCGCTCAGCAGACCCGCACGCCACATTTTGTCTTCTGCACTTCTGTTAGCACTGCTGCTTTCCCCTCCAGCCCTACAATGGCTCTGTGAGCTGGCAGATTGAGCCCAGGTGTGACACAGACCTAACCTTGCCTGTGACTTTATGTTGCAAAAGTCCATCTTACACACATTCATTTCACCCATTCAGATTTGCTGCAAAACTTTTAGGAAGGTACTTAATGCTTATATATGTCTTCAGCATCCAAAAATATTCAACCAGCCTTTGCAATTATGGATTTTTCACATTATTACGTAGGTTTATGTTAAATTATACAACAGGAAACTATAAATGAGGTTCACTTTCCTTCATTTATCAAGCAGTAAAGTGTTTTTTTTTTGTGTGCGTTCTGCAAGTTGTTGCTAATTCTGAGCACTCACAAAGTAATATTTGCCCATCCCTTCACTGCTGTCTTGTCAAGGACTTATTGTAAGCCTCGTGGTTCTTTGATGTATGTGACTCTCTTCACCTCTAAAGCCCATTGCAATCCAAGGAATGTTTCTGTTGGTATTTACTAGGATTTATGATTAGAAATGGAATTTGACCAAATCCGGGTGAAATAGAGCGATTCAGGCTTCTGTTATCACTGAAACCAGAATCAGCCAAATTCTCCCCTTCCAGTAGGAGGGTCTAGGCCAGGAGAGACTGGTCTTTGTTTTCCACAAACATCAGAATTAAAAGTTTCAAAAGGACTGATGTTGTCATGAAGAGTTACTTTAGATTT